CCACCGGGTCCGGGACGCGAACCATGGTCGACTACGTGGGAATCCAGCGACATAGCCATTACGCTAACTGCTGGTTCCCATGAAAACGTATTTTTAATTTAGCATTCATAGGCAACTGCCAATCTACTTTATACAAGCATGAGGATATAATTTTGTATGGTATTTTAAATGTACCAGGCTCTGGAAAATGGATTATGCCATTAAATCACAAAGTAATGTATAAGTTTGGTAGGAAACAGTAATGAAGTAATATGACTTCATTTTGATAAATGTTGGGTTAACCTAATAAAAAAATTACATTTTTATAAAACTTCTTGGTTTATTGTAAAGAGAAAGTTTGATTTAACTTCAAGAAAGCTTGAGATTGTATCTTGAAAGAATATTCTTGTCAGCCTGAGGAAATTTGGAATTAACAAAAGATTTCTTCACATGAATATTCTCTATATCCTCTTCTGTTCTTAAAAGCAGGGTGAATGACTCAAAGAATGAATGAGAGGGGCAAGCAGGTGGCATAGTAGTTAGGGTGACTGGATCCCACATGGATGACTGTGTGGTTCAAGTCCCAGAATAGGTGGCTTGAGAAACACGCCTGGTTCATGTGCGTGTATGCCCAAAATCCTGAAAGGAGAATGGAGGGTGGGGATCGTGTGTTGCCATCCCTCTGGGGATGCTTTCTCACATTCTCTCTCTCTGGTGAGTACATGCACCCTTCAGCACTTTTTTTAAAGAAAAGAAAAGAATGAGTGATCGTGTGTAACAGTGCATAATGTTTGTGTTGACGCTACATGTGAAATGCTCGTTATATCTAGAAAACTTTAGGCATCTGAAGTGAGAAAATTATCTAAAAATAATTCCAAATCTACTTAGGAGAATTAGATGTACTGACACAGAGCCGTGTATCCCTAACCATGCCTTCTGTCCCACTTAAACCCATAGAGATGCCTCACGCCCAGTGCCCGTCCTTTTAAACAGACTTGCTCACAGAGCTTTGCGCTGCTCTAAACCGGCGTTATGGAGCTGGGGGAGCGGGCAAAGGAAGCCGAACTGATTCAGCGCATTTCCCCAGCCCTCGCCCAAATGCCAGTGAACCACTAATAAAATGACCCTTTAATTCAACCTACTTAGGACAAAAGAGCCTATATTTAAAACATATTAAAAGATGAAAAAAAATCCATTAACTGACTATTTCACTTCATGTAGAATTTAATCAAACAAGACAAATATCATTTGCTCAATGACCGTCTTGGAGTCACCATTTTTTCTACAAATCGCTATATAATATAAATGATGTTTTTTGTTGGTCGACTTTCGAATAGTCCAACTTTAATTGTAAAGTCGTTTTCATACTTACACGCTCTGGCTTTTGCTTCTATGGAGCTTCCCCCGGTGACCAGCCTGGAGAACCGCACAGTCCTGGGTTTCACGCTCCTGGGCCTGCTGCGCCACACCCCAGCTCACTTCTGCGTCTTCGCGCTGGTCGCTGCCGTGTTCCTGGCCACGCTGGCCGGGAACGGCCTGCTGGTCCTGCTGATCCTGGTGGACCCACGTCTCCACACCCCCATGTACTTTTTCCTGTGGCAGCTGTCCCTCCTCGATGTCCTGTTCACGCTCGCCATCGTCCCCAAGATGATGTCTGACTACCTCCTGCGCAGGACGGCCATCTCTGTCTCAGGCTGTGGGACCCAGGTCTTCCTGGGACTGGCCTTAGGGGGGACCGAGTGTGTCCTGCTGGGCCTCATGTCCTATGACCGGTACGTCGCCATCTGTGAGCCCCTGCGGTACTCGCTGCTCATGAGCCGGCCCCGCTGCAGGCAGATGGCGGCGTTCTCCTGGGGGAGTGGTGTCCTCAATGCCGTCATACACACCGTCTACACCATGAGCTTCCCCTTCTGTGGACCCAGGGAGATCCACCATTTCTACTGCGAGCTTCCTGGTGTCGTGCGTCTCTCCTGTGAGGACACCTCGGCCTATGAGACAGGGGTGCTGATCAGCACCTCCATTCTGCTCCTTCTGCCTTTCTCGCTCATCCTCACGTCCTACTCACTCATCCTGGTCACCATCCTCCAAATGGCTTCTGCCACAGGCCGGAGGAAAGCGCTCTCCACCTGCTCCTCTCATCTGGCTGTGGTCAGCCTGTATTACGGTGCCATCATTTTTATGTACATGAGGCCGATCTCTTCGCACACCCCAGGCCAAGACAAAGTAGTGTCTGTCTTCTACACCATCCTGACACCCATGCTCAACCCACTGATCTACAGTCTCCGAAATAAGGATGTGATGGGAGCCCTGGGGAAAATCCTGTGGAGGTGCTCGCTGTATTCTAAAATGTAAATGTGGTGATTCAGTGAGAATCGTGTACTCTTGGGTATACCTATTTTTCACTGTATATTTTTGACTATCCGGTGACACTCATATGTTAGTGTATTGGACATAATGGATTATAGTGTTTTATTCCATTTATTAATGAAAATTAAATTTACCTCAAGTAGAGAAATCCGAACACAGAGACGTGGTGTAAAGTAGCATGTTTTGCTTATTGTTGCATAATTCAAGATCATAAATCTCAAAACTCCATCACCAACTAAGGGAGGGGTCCAAAAGCCATACCAAGTCACCAGGTAGTGATCGGACACAAAATTGAACTTCTGTGTAATGTCTTTATCCTCAACTTGGCTCCAATTCCATGTGTACTATGCCATTACAAACTTACTCTTTAATTTTTTTGTCTCTCACCAGAGAGACAGAGAAAGAGAGAGATAGGGAAAGTGAGAAATCCTCCTCCCCACGAGGGGTGGCCATGCTGCAATCCCTTCTCCTCCAGTTTCCTCTCAGGGTTTTGGGCAGGTGCATGTGCCCCACATGATTTTCAAGCCGCTGAGTCTGGGACTTGAACTGCAAAGTCAACCAAGTGGGATCCATCTGCCTTAACCTCTCTGCCACCTGCTGGCCCACAAACTTAGTCTTTGGGGAAGTATGTCAGAAATTAGGATGCTTCTTAGCTTTTTGTCCTCATTAGTTTAGTAATGAATCTTTTAAATTATGCTTGCAGAAGCAGAGTCCCTGAGCCGGCTGTGTCTTCCCATGAAACAGCTCTGGGAATTCCCTTGTTAATGGTAGTGCTGATTGATTGTTTCTGTTAAATTAATACTGTGAGACAAAGAAAAGATCACCAGTTAACTTTATAATTATTACAAAATTTTGCATAAAAGCAACATTGATTGAATGTGTAGACTCAGTGCCACTCTAGGACATCAGGAAGACAAAGGGCTCTTGAGAGCCGCAGTGTTCAAGGAGAAGAAGAGATCGACATGGAGCCTGACCATCACAGTCTGAGGATGTGCTGGGCATAAGAACCTGGACTATGGGCTAACCAGTGTCAAGGACTCCTGGCGCACAGGGAGCTAACAGCTCAAGGAGAAAACTGGGACGGCACACCCAAACCTGTGTACCCAGTCCTTTCAAGGCCCGACACAGAGCCTTTTCCAGAGTGGGTCAAATAGGGATGAAGACAGAAATATCAGCATCGTGTCCCGGCATCTCCGATGACCTCTGTGGGATGGTGCAGTGGGACAGGCTGCGAGGCGGTGCGTTCAGAGCAAGGTAGCAGTGCAGACCTGGTGACAGTGGCATCGACCAGAAAATCAAAATGACTACCAACAGAACTGTCTACTGGCACATAGGTAGACAAGCTTGGTTAACTATGCCAGGGATCATGTATCATTTCACCAATATTTAACATGATCACAAGTTGTTTAGTCTTATTACGTCAGTTTTCTGACTTGTGCATTGTTATGAAATGATATTATCCTGAGAATTTAAAGAAAACTCCCATTAAAACTACTTATTTGTGATTTTTCTCTGTTCTCTTGACACTGTTTATGCTCCCATCTTGTTTTTTTTTAGAGGTTTTCGCCACAGAGTGTGTGTGCTCACCAGAGGGAGAGAGAGGGAGGGAGGGAAAGTGAGAAATCATCTAATTACCTGGGTGGGGAACGGCCACGGCGCAGTCCCTTCTCCTCTTGGATCCTGAGCACGCACACACATGTGCAAGGTGTGATTCGGAGAAACCGGGTCTGGGACTCAAATCGCGACCGGCCACGTGGGCGTCCAGTAACCACTGCGCCAGCTGCTGGCTCGCCCCGTATCTCTTTTCTCATGCACGTTTATTAACTATTTCAGTTCAAACTGGAGACAGATCATCTATACCAGTACAAAGAAACACAATTTAAGAAAAGAAGCATCTAACTTTACTGCCACTCCCTTTATTTCTTTTTTTAATTAAACTTAATGTACTACCATTATTATTTTTTAAATTTGCTAAAGGGCATACACGCTCACCGGACAGGGAGAGGGAAAGTGAGAAATCGCCCCTGAGGATGATAGCCACGCTGCAAACCCTTCACCTCCATACTCCTGGGATTCTGGGCATGCACACACATGTGCCCCTCAGGAGAGTCAAGTTGCCAGGTCCAGGACTGGGACCCTAGTCATCCATGTGAGAATCCAGCTCCTTAATCACACCGCCTAGTGGGCCCTTATTTATTTTATATACAAAACATTTGACAGGGCTCTAGAAATAGCTGTGTGAGCTTCCATATCACTGAGCTTCCGTGGGATTTACGTTGTGGCCATGTGCTAGCTCCCCGCCAGGACAACGCTGGGAGTCAAGTACGCTCTGTCAAGTACGCTCTGCCCCTGGTAGTCGCTGGAAGTGGCACGACAGCTACAAAGAGAGGGCATCCCATTTTGTCAACAAGGCTGGATAAATGTAAACAACTTGAAGATCATACCACTGAAAAATCGAGTGACAAGTATCTGCATGAGATAATGGTGTGGTGGGAGGAGACGATGAAACCGTGCATGTCACAGACACTTTAACGATGACTCACCCAGGCTCGCTGCAAGGATTCTCTATTTTTTTTTTGAGATTATTATTATTATTTTTTTTTGCCATAGTGCATGTGTGCTCACTGGAGAGAGGGAAAGTGAGCAATCACCTCCCACAGGGAATGGCCATGCTACAATCCTCTCTCCTCCATTCTCCTCTAGGGATTTTGGACACATACACACACACATGTGCCCAGGGTGTTTTTTAGGTCACAGGGTCTGGGACTGTAACCATGGAGTTGCCATGTGGAATCCCTATGTTACAGTTTTTTTATAGATAATTTTAACAATGCCTGTTCTATTTATGAGAAACAGGTTCCAACAGTTACACTCACTGAGACAAGCTTCCAGTAGCAGAGCAAGAGTTACAGGTAGTTTAGACTCAGACCACATGTGGCATGTTTGTGCAAAGAAATGGAATAAACTCATTCTGAATCTCTGACTAACATCCAATGGCTACATCCTTATAACGACTTTCTACTTATCTCTCAAAATATGTCTTCCTCCATCTTTTTAATCTCTGTATTATTGCTGACACATCATTGTGGAATTTCATTGAGGTATATGATTTGGAAGCATGTAAAGATATTCACATAAAAATACTCACTGTTGGGACCAGTAGTTGGCGTAATGGCTATGTCACTGAACTCTCATGTAGCCGACTGCAGTTTGAGTCCCAGACCCAGTGGCTTAAACTCACACCAGGCGCATGTGCGTGCATGCCCAAGATCCCAAAAGGAGGGAGGAGGAGAAAGGATTGCGGCGTGGCCATCCCCCCTGGGGAGTGATTTCTCGCTTTCTGTCTCTCTTTCTCTCTCTGTCTTTCTGGTGAGAGCACGCACCTTATAGCAAAAACCAAAAAAAAAAAAAAAAAGCCTCACTGTGTGTTTTAGATCTGGTTATAACCTAAGAGTTTTATTCTTCTCCACCTCCATACCCTTCTCAATAATCAAAAATACAGAAATTGCTCTGCCAGAAAGACCTGCACATTTATGTTTATCCAATGGTTAAGACATGAACCAACCTTGGGTCCCGACAGCTAATGAGTGGATTCAGAATGAGCCTGCTGACCTTTGACCCTAGAGCAATATTTGAGGAGTGAGTAGCTCTTCTGGGGAGTGCTCAGCTTACTGGGGTGCGGCATCTCCCCAGAGGACCCTCTCTCCCATCCAGAGGACTCTCAGGACACCATTTCTTTTGCTCCATTTAAGTGACTTTTTTTTTTAAAAAATCTTTTTTCCACAAGTTTCTGATCTCTTGAATCCCTGATCACCCTATGCTTTCTTCCCCACTCCCTTTAAATTTAGAACATATTTATTTCCTTTCCTATTAGTTGGGTTTTATAAAGGTTAAAGGGTGACATATACACTTAAACTCTCACAGATATTTAGGACCACAAAGCATTTAAGTACAAGATAACTAAGAGAAAAGGGGAATGATGAAGGAAAGGTTTCATAAAGTAATGTTCGATGTTTTTAAACTTGAGAGAAAACAGAAAGACAAAATAAACTACCCGTGGGGAAAGCTTGAGCCGCGGCATGGAAGCTACCACAGGCATCCATTCAGTAAAAAGCCTTTGGTTTTATTGCTGTTGCACATTTTTTCTTTATTATTATTATTACTTATACACTCAATCTCTGTATATCATTTAGGTTGTAAAGAGACTTTACTCAGCATGATAACACACGTCAGTCCAGCCCAGTTGGGAGTACGTCACACGTCCTCATCAACAGATGATAAGCCATGTCTCGTCCACAGATGTCTCACCACTCTATTTTACCCCAGATTTCCTTTCCTATGCCCTTCCCCTCCCACACTCTCCTTCCCCTTTGTTTCTAGAGTCCATAGCAATTTTTACTTTGCCAGAGAGTGTGTGTACCTGCCAGAGAGTGTGTACCTGCCTGAGAGTGTGTGCACCTGCCTGAGAGTGTGTGCACCTGCCTGAGAGTGTGTGTACCTGTCCTCATCAACAGATGATAAGCCATGTCTCGTCCACAGATGTCTCACCACTCTATTTTACCCCAGATTTCCTTTCCTATGCCCTTCCCCTCCCACACTCTCCTTCCCCTTTGTTTCTAGAGTCCGGAGAGTGTGTGCACCTGCCTGAGAGTGTGTGTACCTGCCAGAGAGTGTGTACCTGCCTGAGAGTGTGTGCACCTGCCTGAGAGTGTGTGCACCTGCCTGAGAGTGTGTGTACCTGCCTGAGAGTGTGTGTAACTGCCAGAGAGCTGCTTCCCTGCCCCCCCTTCTCCCAAACTGGCCAGGGAGCACGGGCTCTCCTCTGGCTTCTGGGAGCTGGGAGGAGCTGTACGGAAGTTCTGGTCACTGCTCTGTCTTGGCGCAGAGGCATCTGGGCCTGCTGCTCTGATCTGGATGCCCCATGTGAAGTCCTCTGGCCCATGGCTCAAGGTCACAACTCTCCTTCTTTCATATCCCAGACCCCC